CTGTAGAAAGCTGAAGTATTAATTGCTTCTTTTTTTTTTTTGTCCCTTGGGGAATACTGCACTCCTGTCTGTTTCAACTTCTGGCTGCTGGCTGTCTTTGCAGCGCCATTAGCATGAGTGCAACACAACGTGATATAAACCAAAAACATCTATTTGGATCATAACCTGTAGCTGAGTGCATTTTCCTTTTTTGGTAAAGATGATGGGTGATCCAGTTCATCCGTCAATGTAGTAACCTGTGGGTGGACAAGAGTCGTTTTTTACAGCTTATTCAAGGGAGAGAGAAAATAAAATATTGGGTAAATGGTAGCTTTTCCTAAATGCAATTAAATAAAGCTAATGGATTTTGATCAGATTGTTGCAAATTACACTTATACAGGTAATAAACCAAAATATTAGACACATTAAAACTTTGACCTGACGATGGTGCTAGAATACAGGTTAAAGGATCACCACGGTAATCATTCTAAGGGACGTGTGCGTGGGTCTTTGTGTAGGTGTGTGAGCCTTTATGGCAGTTTATCAAATATTTAGATGTTCACTCACAAAATCACAATTAAAGACACCTGTTGTTTTCGTACAGGAAGTCATGGGATCACTAGAATCAGAATCAGAATCAGAAAGGGTTTTATTGCCAAATGTTGAGCAGGTTTACAACATTAGGAAATTGCTGCGGTGCTTCAGTGCAAACATACTGTCATAAAAATATAAAAATAAGAATAAGAATTAAAAGTGCTAAGTGGATAGATATATACATGATATATACATGATATATACATGAGTGCAGGTGGTGATCAGCTTTACACATCACTAGCGTCATGTGTAAACCATGAAATTTCATGGCAGTCCTTTTAACAATTGTGGAGGTTTTCTAGTACAATAACACTGATGAACCAATCCACAGCACCATGCTCAGTAATTTAATTGGCAGAACCATTAGTCAGTTAACTGAAAGGAAAACAGTAGGTTAACTACGAATATAATACTTAGAGCCATAATCACTGGAAGCCTCTTTCTGACTTTCTAACTGGGCATTTGACCTACTTCCAGCTGATTTAAAAGGACACATCTAGTTCACTGAGTCACAGGTGTCGGCTTTTCCAGCAGGAATGTGTTATTCTGCAGCTGGTGAAGCTTAGGGGGGCTGTTTCTTTATTTTTTATTTATCGTGCAGCACACGCATGCAAGCCAAGTGGAAGAGGCTTATTATATATCGCGTGGGGGAGTTTATGGCTTGGAAGGAGCTGACTCTCATGAACCTTTGCTTGAAAGCAGTCCATCTCTCCCATGAGTATGGTTACATTTTGATAATGGTCATTTGTAACTGAGCAGATTTTTCACTATTTCATTGATGGAACATTAACTCAACAAGGAGGTGTATAAATCAAATACTATATTGTGTCAGGTTCCCTTTTAAGCTAAAGGTCAATGGTTCATTCTGCCCTAAGTGGGCTATGCTGTTCATCCTTAAAGGCAGAGCAGGTGTATAACCAGATGGATCCAGCAGGCAACTATCAGCTTCCAGCTAGCCAGCCATGCTCAGAGAGATATAGTACCTAGGGATAGCAAGAGTGGTAGTAAAAGCATTCTAAAGTTGTCTTTTGCTAGTTACAATTACTGTTTCATGTAAAACAAAATCTAATGTATCACTATATATATCCACCACTTTGGGATACACTGAAACATTTACTAAATGAGACCATTTTGAACAAAAGTTTCAGTCTGGACCCCTGTAGTGTAGAGAAGCTTTCAATCTGCAGTGGTTTATATTTAGCAGTGTGGCTGTGTCCTGTGACCTTCCTCTAATGTACATGAAACCCCAGAGGCAGGGACAGAAGCAGTAAGACCTTGACAAAGAATAGAGCATCAGTATAACTTTGATTAAATAGAGAAGAAATCATGAAAGGTGGACCTGAGGTGAAGATGGTGATATGCTGCAACTGCAGTCAGACTTAAAAAGTAGGCCCTATATAGGATTTGTCATTTGTGTAGAAGGGTATCAGCTAAGCCATCAGCTGATCAGCTTGGACTGCAGCTGAGCTTGACTTTGAGAAAATGCAATGCTCGATTTGAGGTCCCCAGACGATGAATCCTAATGGCTTTGGTGATCCCCGGTCAAAGTGTGTGGAGCACAAAAGAAAGCACTATTATTAATAAGTGTGCATTTGTGGTTTTTAGTTAAATGCCCTGACAACTTTTGGAGTTTTTTTCATGACTGTAGACTCTTTACTTATTTGTGCTCTTTGCAGGTTTTACCACATTGGGTTATTGCTTTGGTCTGTATGAAGGAGAGGAAATTTAAGTTGTCAGTTCATCAGTTCATTCCCTGAAGCTCAAGCACACTTGGGTTATCTTTGTCTGATATTAAAATGTATTTAATCTAAAATATGTTAACTGTGAGAAATAAAAAAATAAAAAATAAAAAAACAGGAAGAGAGAGAGAATAGGTTTTCACAGCACTGTATGTAAGTATGTGCCCAAACACCAAAAGGGTAATAGAAAATTAAGTATAGGAGGTGGAATATGTCATAAATGGGGGATAAGACATGATTAACAAGAAGACAGGGATGGAGGGATGAGGTGGAGATTAGGGCTGAATGTCTGTGATGGCCAAACCCATGTCCACACTTTGAAGTCAGTAACTCTTGTATTTTCATTTCTTCATTTGAACATAGTAACACACTTTAGTTTCCAATAACTTTATTGATTGGTTTGGATACATCTGTTCTATTTGTGAGCGCGCACATTTAGTTTACTTATGTATTCATATCACTTCATTACTTTGATTTTTGACTAACCTTTTTCTTTTTATTTCTTACCTGCCATCATCCCTGGGAGTTCCTGGACAAAAGATGGTAGCCAGGGTTTGAAACCACTAAATGCAAAAAGGGATAATTGGACCACACCGCCACTTCCTACTGAAGGGGAGAATGTGTGTTTTCTTTCATTTAAAAACAAAGTATTTGTATTAAATTAAATATTTGAGTTTAGGGTTTAATGGTTTTGATTTTCTTCTTTAGTGTTTAGTTTATTAACAAACTAGATTGTACTGCATTGTGTTGTGATTTATGATTGTGTTTGTTTGTTACCCCCTCAGTCATTTGGTTTGTTGTTTGCATTCGTTGCCTGAGTTCAGTTTTGTTTCTTTGACCTCTTTTATGAACTCAGCATTTATTACTTTTGTAAATATAATTTTGGGGGGTTAAATAAATGAAAACCATATTTTTTTAATAATCCCTGGGACGACTCCTGTTTTTCAACTCGGTCCATCACAATGTCACTGAATAGCAAGCTGAAGTTGTGTGTCCCATCCGCTGTAGGTGCCTCATTGGTATGTGAGCGAGTGCATCTCCCCTCTCATCTCTATTCTAAGCCTATAAAGTGCAAGCTGCCTTTTTGCTTGCCAGCCAAACATTCACACAAAACCCACAAATAAACCCAAGCCTGCCAATAAGCAACCTCCTCTCCACTGGGTTTGCTCCTCCTCGGTTTCAGGCAACATAGTAACAAGAAACTTTTTAACTGTTGCCATAAAGTTTATGGGGTTTTTTCTTGGTTTTTTTGCTGGGTTTTTTGTTTTTTAAGTCTTACAGGTGATTGGCTTTAGCGCAGTAGTTTTTTGCACTGTGAATTTAATGCATGGAGGAATCCTGTGAGATAGAGGGAAAGAAAGGGTAGATTAGTTCAGGAGCAGAGGAGTATAATTAGCCTAAACAGCAGAAGGGGATTTATGCTCTGCCGGCTGCCCTCTGCTTCTGCTGCCTTCCACCCTCCTCCCCTCTTGTCCTTCCTTGGAAAGCATTGCTTCTCTCAGTTGTCAATAGTTCCACTGACGATGTGTGTGTGTACTAGGGGTCTGTGTGCGAATGTGTGTGAAGGGACCTGGGCTTGTTCTCACCTCTAGTGTGAGCAGTGTTTGTTTCAGAGTTTATGCAGACAGTGACTCAGCTGTTTGTGATTCTGCAAGCTTTGCACTGTGCGCTTGCCTTGAGTCCTCAATGTGGCTCTGCAGAGGACAGTAGGCTTATCTTATATGTAGCCACTGCATACATCTCCGCACAGGAACACGTGTGAGAGCATCTCTTTGTAATCCTGAGTAACCTGGCACATTAAAAGAAGGATCCTTCCTATGTCAGCATTTGGGAATTATGCTTTGGAGTCTGTCAAAGCTTTAAAAAGTGCAGCGAGGGGTCTCTCTCTCTGGATGACAAAGTTTGTTTTAGAGGGGTGAGACCAGCAGCCAGCTCTAATGTCTCTCCATGAGTTTCTTCGGGAGGGCGGTGAGGCATCGTTCCGGATCATGAACCGCCTCAGTCATCTTATGCAGAACTTGGAATTCTCTGGACTGGGCTCGGCTTTCCCTTTCAGCCCTGCCAGCCGCAAGAACTCCTGGAGAGCCTGGGATGGTAGGACTGAGAAAAAAGGAGTGTATTCTGTGTGAGAGTGAGTGTGCATGTGTGCACGTATACTCGCAACTTTTTGTGCCTGTGTGTGTATTTGCGCATAATATATTTTTCATTGAAGCTCTGGCTAGAGTATGTAGGGCATCGCACCCAGAGACTCACATACAGTGTTTCCTGTGGGCTTCCCTTGCCCCCACCCCCTCTGCTGGGCTGTTTCTGTGTCTTGATGTGTATAACATTTTGTGTGTGAGTGCATGACTGCGCAGCTTAATCAGCTGCTTCAGTATCCAACATGCACATCTCGGCAGCTGCACTGACATTTTTCCATAGAAGCAGTGAAAAATTCTTCAGCAGATGCAGAAACTGCAGCACAGAGCAGAAGAAGAGCTGGTGCAAAGGAATGCTGATTAAAGCTGCTGAGCTAACAGTTTGGTGTCGTCTCAGCCAGATTGTTGCCACTTTTACTAACACACAGCAAGAAAAGAAATGGTGAAGAAAACCAAGAAGAGTGTTTCTCAGTGGGATAGTGGGATGCCAATGGTCCCGCTTAAGCCATGTGAGTCAGGGGTCTTTTTTCAGCGTTTTTCTTTATCTGGGACATATAGAAAGCAGCTGTTTTCAGCGATTCTCCTGCTGACTGTCTATATAAATATTTTAAAACCTTTTGTAGTCTTCATATTCTTGTTTCTCATGTTTCTCTTTGTGATTTTGTTAGATATTCATGCAGTGCTTGCTGTAGGTTTTACTTCTACATATACAATTTGTGCATATACTTTATGCACAATGTGCATGATCTGAACACACAGTATGTGCATTTTTGTCTGTACCTGAAGCTATGAGATTTCGGAGGAAGGTTTTCATTTCCTGTCCTCCCAGCTCTGTTTAAGTCATTAGCCATGAGGAGAATTTGAGAGAGGGATTTCTGTTTTTTAGATGTTATGTTTTGTAGACTGAGACTATTAACTCTGACACCATGGAAAATTCTCAGGAGAAAAGATTAGCAAATATTTTGGTGTAGTAGTTTTGTGTGATTTCTTGCATTTGCAAGTAACTCATAGTCTTCCAGTTCTTTGCTCTTCTTGTTGATCAAAGTGATTTTTGCACAGTTGTTGCAGCCTTTATAATAACATTTGTAGACAGTGAAACTGTATACAGAAGTATGCTAATCGGCCACTTTATAAGAACTGCTCATTGATGCAAATATTTAATCTATGTGCCTACATGTGCAGAGTTGGCAGCATTTAGACATGTAGACTTGGTCAAGATGACCTGCTAAAATTCAAACTGAGCATTAGAATACATACACCAGTTAGTTTACATCAGAATGAAATTTCAATGCATTTACTCGCCATCACATTGCACAATCTCAATAATAAATTAATCTAAAGGTATAAAATATAAAAATATAATCTAGGATATGTGCACATAATAATATAAGAGAAATGAGTCCATATACATTATTATTGGTAAAACTTTACAGAATATTAACAATGGAGCAGAAAACCAGAGTAAATCATTATTCCAGGCTGTCATGATCCAAGCAGCCAGGAACACACAGGCACAAATATAATCTTCAAAAAATGGGTTTATTATACCCCCAAAAAGGACAAGATGATTACAAAAATTCAAAATAACAAAAAATAAAGTTTTTAAGAACCAAGTGGGCCCATAAAAGAGGTTAACTTAACAGACCGCTACTCAAAAATCACTTTAAAAAACATAACTCAACAAACTGACCTGCCCAAATGAGAAACAGCTCCAGTTATATAGCAAATGAATAAACCATTATATACACCAAAGGTGAAAACTAAAGAGATAACAGATAACCATCATTCAAGAAGAACCCCATTCCCCCTGCATGATCACAATAGATGGTCCAGTCCACTTTATTGGCTTCTGCATTTAAACCAGCTCCACCCTCAGCCTCCTCTTTCAGCCAAACCAGGAAGGACTGGAGCAGAGGTCAGGTAACTCAGAAAGAGTAGAAATATAATCAATATAACATACCTATATAAAATAACAAACAATGCAAAGCAAAGTCTATTCCACCATTTGGGCTATAGCTTAGTGCTGTCATGCATTACAGGTAAACTCAAAATATCAAATTAGTTAACTTATGATCACAGAAACTTTAGAGCATAACGTAAACATAAGACAAAAGACCAAATGAATATTACCTAAGTATCTCAGTTGTGTGGTTGCATGCATCCATCACACAGGCATTAAATTGCCCTGTGTGATGTGAAACGTTTAAAGAAATTTGCCTTGTGCAAAAAATAAGGAAGAAAGTAGCCAAAAAGGCTGGTCCAAGTGTTTCAGAAACTACTGATTTACTGGGATTCTTACATAAAATCATCTCTAGGGAATGATCCAAAAGAAAGGAAATATGCAGAGAGCAGCAGTTCTCTGTGTGAAAATGCTGTGTTGATCTCAGAAGAGCATCTCTGAACATGTCAAACCTTAATGCAGATGGACTACAACAGAAGACCACGCTAGGGGCTATTCCTCTCAGCTAAGAACAGGAAGCCGAGGTTACAGTCTGCATGGGCTCACAAAAAGTTGAGCCTTTTTTCGAGCAGAAAGGAGGGGAGAGAGAGCAAGGAAGGACATGCAAAGGGCCACAGTTTGCACTCAAACCCCGCCTGCTGCGTTTTAGTCAAAAGGCATGTGGCTTCCACCACTGAGCTAAGCTGGCACGCTGACTTTCAGTTTATGATGCAACATTTGATTGGTTGATTCAGAAGTTTGTGTAAATAACATAAAAGTATAACTCCATCCTGCACTGTACCATTCAGGGGGTTTGTTGGGTTATATTGATATTGAAGATGTTTTCATGGCCCACTTTGCACCTTAGTACTGACAGAGCATTGTTTAAATATCACAGTCTGAGTATTGTTGTTAACCATGTGTCAGTATAGCCATCTTCTGATGGCTGCTCCCAGAAGGTTAACCTACTATCTCACAAATCATCTCAAACTGCTTCCTTGAACATGACAGTGAGTTCAGTTTACTCAAGGGGTATCCACAGTCACCAGATCTCAGCCCAGTAGAACACCTGTGTGATGTGGTGGAAACAAAGATTTACCCAAAATGGGGGTTGTGTGTGTGTTAACAGTTTTATGCAGCGTGTTTTCATTTATTCGACTGACTCTGTGAGCTGATTTGATGGACTGTGCCTTGTTTGACTATCTTGCTCACTTTAAGCTGCATAGTTTTCCAGTCTAGTGGCTTTAGCTTTGAACTTATAAAGTTTATGGCACTGATAACCTGCATGCCCTTGGTCATAAAGCAAATGCCCACGTTAAACACACAAACACACCGATGCAGAGGCAAGCTGCACACACTTTACACAGGTATATGTTCCCCAAGCCATTTAGCACCACTGCATCTTCGTTTAATAGATATTGGCTGAATTAGGAGACAAAGAATCAAGTCTATTAGCCTTTTTTTAACTGAAATGTATCTTTTGAACAACTCACTGTAATGGAATCTAAATTGCCACTTTGTATTAAGAGACAGCGTCTCTCTTTGAGAGGTCTCCTTAGAATTAAGTCTTTCAGTAAGTTTGTAAGAATGGGGTCTTTTGAGCGGAGTAAACAAGAATAGAGGCTTTGAATGGATCGAGTCAGTGAATGGTTAAATGGGGATGTCTTTGAATGGGTTGGTCAGAATGGAGGCTTTGTATTTTTAGTCCACATTTCCTGAGATAAGGCAGACGCGGATCGCGAGTTTTGTTGCCATAGGTAAATGAGCAGTGGAAGCTGCAGTACCTTTAATAACCAAAGTGACGCACAGCAGCTTAATGTAGAACCTATTTCCCTATTCTTGATTAGTCATGAAGAGGCATGACTACTTCCTTTTTATTGGTCAGACTGTCAGCTATGTAAAGTTGGAGGCTTTTTAGCTAGTTAGATAACTGTCCTCTTAGGGGAGGTATAAAGGTAGTTGGACCAGGAGAGAGGGTGGGGTCTAGCAGTACACTGTAGCTTTTGTATACAGGGAAGGTAACCTGAGGTTGCAATAGGAAGTCCTCAGTTACTGCGTCTGCGGGCTGTAGAGCACCTGCAGCCTGACCAAGAGGTTAAATGTAGTGTCTGGCGAAAGGTAGAGTCAGGATGAGAGGGAAATTGTTGTTGTGATATTGTTTGTGAAGCTACATGGAAGAAATGCTGGAGAAAAGAAGTGAAGGAGACATAGACTGGGACAGGAAGATGGGAAGAGAGGAGATAGCAGATTTGGGCTCCTTGATGGATGCAGACATCGAGGTTGAGCTAGATCCTGGGTTTTGCTTGGAAATGGACTCAGAGGTGACTCTAGCTGGACAGGTGAGTCCAGGCTCACAGGAGTGCTCTGACAGTGAGGAAGTGGACTGGTGTGTAATTAAAGGACACACAGATTCTCTGGTTGTGGTTGAAGACATGAAAGAGGGAAGGGCAGCTGAGATTGAGGCGTATTACACGTCAAAGGAGATTGGAGAGACTGATGAAAATGCAAACATAGATATGGAAGATCAGAGGAGCAAAGAGGAAATGGTAGAGGAAGTATTGGATGCATTTTTGGGGCCAAGGGAGGAAATTGGGGTTCATGTCCGGCTCACTATTGAGGAGGTGGAAAGTTACTACAGATTTTCTTGCCGTTGCAACTGGTTATGTGGTAAGTTATACCTATTCATTCTTCATCCTCTCTTTCTTTTTTATTGTTCTATTACATTAACAGCAGTTTAAGTAATGGCTCTCATATCTTCAAGGGGGTATCTTGTAATCATTAAGACATGATATTTTCATTCTTGAACTTTCAAATAATTCTTATTTTTCTTATACTGTGTGTTTGTGCAGGCCTCAGTTCATCCATGGTCTGAGAAAGTAGTTCCTCTCCCTTCTTTTTCTTCTGGAGTGTCACCTTTGATAAGAAAAGAAAGGCTAATATTTAGTTCTCTCTCAAGCAATACCAGAGGTTCAGAGAGCATGACAGCACTGAATTTGGACAAGGGCCAGAAATGACTGACATCACAATGTAAACCCAGTAAATCATTTGACCAAAGAAATCGCGATTAGGTGCTGAGCCACCACAAGCAGCAACAGTGCAAGCTGACAGAGATATTTGAAGATTCTGTAAATCTTCTGAAGGGATTGAACCATACTACTATTCAATTTTCTATGCATCCAGCTTTCTGCCATTTATGTCCAGACACCACTTCAAACTAACCAGTTTGCATATGCCCACAAAAAAACATCACTCAGGAGTAAACAGGAGCCCAAATCACATCACCTGGCTGCTTTTGAAGTGGAGGAACGACAGCTTTTCATCCTTTTTCTAAGACCTTCAGCTGAAGCTCTGTTGCTACTATCATTTTCTTTTGTTCACTACCTACATAGCCAAGGGCGAGGGTAGGAACATAGATCGACCAGTAGATTGACAGCGTAGCTTTCACATTCAGGTCTCTCTTCTCCACATCAGACCGGTGCAGCTTCTGCATCACTGCAGACGCTGCACCAATCCATCTGTCAGTCTCCTGTTCCACTCTTTCCTTGCTTATGAACAAAATCCGATATACTCAAAGAGCAATTTATTTGCTTTTTTATACTAATAAACTTAGTGACCTCTTGTATCTTATTAATGGGAATGCTGTATAGGAACCCGAACCCAGTAGGATAGAAATGCTTCATTCTAACATGAAGTCTCAGTTTGCAGTGAATTGCAGCAAACATTTCTCCAGTGGGGACAAGTGAGCCTATATCAGCAAAACTATAACTATAACAGCAAAATGTTCCAAAAAACTATCAAGTCCCTTCACTGTAAGTCACAATGAGATAAGATAGGGTTTTTTTGTGTTGTTCTTTTTCCAGGGGTAAATATCACCCCTTGCATTCCTCCAACCATTTGCTTTATCTCTGCTACTCCTCCTCCTTCATGACCCCTTAAGCACCTTATTCCCTCTTGTTGCCCACCCAGACCCCCACTGCTCCGCTTCCTGCCCCTTCCTGATCCCAACTGTTAATTATTTGAATGTTATATTTTTTGAGTACATTACTATAAGATCACATAGAGGGAGTGGATCAAGTAAACAGCTCTGGTGAATGAAGCAATTTCTTAACCATATAAATTAACAAGAAAATAGGCAGTTTGTTTTGTTGCATGTGCGTGTGTGTGTCAGTCACGTGGGCCTGTCAATCCAGGATTTCTTTCCTCTCGTCTACTCCTGCTTAATCTGTGTCAGTAGTGGCAGGCAGTCCAGGTGTGTCACTGTGACCCACTAAAGTTTGACCAGTTGCCCACAAACGTGTACGTGAGTGGTCGCTAATCCCAGTCGTTAAGCTTTCTAAAGAACATTAGCGCCTCACCCAGCAGGTGGTATGTGATTGTGTGTCTGTATGCGAGTATACAGGGAATGTTGAAATTGCTTGAAAATTATTTAGAGGGAATATTTTTTGTAACAGACATAGTTGCTGTATCACTAAAGAGCAGAATGCTCTAATAATAGCATCTCAGTCATCTTAATGTAAAGAGTGCTCTTTTACACGTACATCCTTGTCTCGCTTTAGGTTGTTTTGACACCACAGATACTCTGAGGAGATAAAATACAAAGAAAGACAGACTGGAAAAAAAACTTCATAGTTTCAGTGTCTTGTAGTATCTGATACTGTTTCAATTCACAGCCAGAGGGGCTTTTAGCATTGTGCATGTGGCAATAGTTTATGCAAGCATGTGAGAAAATTATGATTTGTAGAGTAAGGGCTATAGGAGATACAATTGGTGTGAAGACTCTAATAAAAATAATGTGTAATAATAATAATGCATAATAGAAAGTAACCATGCATAAGGTTATGTTAACAAATCAAAACAAAAAAAGCTGTTAAAAAGGAGCCAGATCGGATATTCAGGGGGAGACTTTTCGGTAACCGAATAGCCCTTTTCTCTAAACAGTGCAGCTATTGCTGGCCTGGGTCGGGGCCGGAGTTTGA